AGAGAGAGAGAGAGAGAGAGAGAGAGAGAGAGAGAGAGAGAGAGAGAGAGAGAGAGAGAGAGAGAGAGAGAGAGAGAGAGAGAGAGATGCATGTGTGTGTGTTGTATACACAAACTCCACAAAAAAGCATCACTGTGCCAGACTGTTTCATCATATACTTTCACCAGCTCACGAGTGTCTGTTGTCATGTTCGCTATGTACAAATCTACAAAAAAACAGGCATGTTGCTTCCAGACTGTTTCATTGGACTTCCACCAACTCCTGTGTGTGTGCTTTCAGTATTAGCGAGAGCATTCTCCGCCATTCAGAGCCCACTGGTTCTCTATTTCATTGCGGGTTTCAAGAAGAGACCTTCTGTTCATCTTGTACATTCCTTGAAAGTGCAAGGTTCCCACATTTGTGTGGTTGAACTGCAAGTGCCCACACAGCCATCCACAATACCCACATTTGCACTTGTGTAGTAGTTAAACTTCCTCTGCTCTTACATAAACATCTCATTTTCAAACAGAGAAATCTCTGGGCCGAGTCCGGCCAACAGAGGGAAGAGACTAGGGGAAGTGCAGGGAAAGCAGAGAGAAAAAGAAAAAAAGCAAAACAGAAACAAAGGAGGTTAGAGACTTCAACTTCAGCATAGAACACCTTAAGCAAGGCATCACTTTTCACAGAAAGCACAGCGTCCAATAAATTCTAAGGCGCAAGCACCCGTGTGGCGTGCACCACCCTTCTTGCCTCTTTCTGCCCAGGCAATAATGACCTTATACCTCGTACGACCACAATCAAACACAGGACATGAATGGTTTAGGTGAGGCATAGTGTGTGCAAACAGCACAACATAGAGTGTGGACACAGCACAACATCGTGTGTGGAAACAGCACATCGGATCCTGCATCACCCTTCTAGCCTCTTTCTGCTCAGGCGATTACCTCGAGGCATATGACTATGATCAAACATCAGACGAAGCTGCACATGATTCAGGTGAGGCATAGCATGACGAAGCTGCACATCCAATGCTGACACTGTGTGTTTCAGACACACAATCCTGACACAGTTTGTGTGGTCTCACGTTAGCAATACTCGGGAGTGTCGGTCTGGTTCCTATTCCACAACGGCCTGTTTCAGACACACAATCCTGACACTGTGTCTGATGCTAACATGAGACCACAGGGAAGTGTCAGTCTGGTTCATGTCCATTCACTGTGTCTGATGCTAACATGAGACCACTGTGTCTGATGCTAACATGAGCCCACAGGGAAGTGTCAGTCTGGGCCTGTCTCAGGCTCCATGTCCATTCTCGGGAGTGTCAGTCTGGTTCCTATTCCACAACGGCCTATTTCAGACACACAATCCTGACACAGTGTCTGATGCTAACATGAGGATACCCCTTTCATTTGTTCTTGCAGCTCCCCTTTTACAATGCCTCTCACCGAGTCTCACGTACAAGGCTAGCCTCGTTGACAGCGGTTGAGCGCCAGCTGCTCACATCCGTGTGTGCCTTAACGGCACACTTGCACAATTTGAAAAAAGGCAGAGTTCAGTAGGAGGTATACTCCTGTTCATTTTACTTCAGATCTTCAGCTTACATTTTGTCTGTTCGGAAACCACCACTCCCCCCCCCGGCTTAAATTCGGCTAACCTGGCCCTACAGACCAGGTTTTTAGGGTGGTGACGACTGGTAGGCAGAGGCGGGTCCAGTCCCGCAATTTTCTAGTGCCAACTTTGGCGATTTTTCACGCACAGAAGAATTCACAAAAGACCCCTGAAAATCGGAGATCCTATAGAAAGGCGGAACTTGCGCTAGCGCTAGCGCCCTAACGCCGGCCGACCGGTGAGCCCCGGCCGCACCTGGCTTGACCAGCGTGCTGGAGAGGTGAGCCCCCTCCAGGCTGCTGGGCCTGTGCACATGGCCCGACACGTGGCCGTGACTTTTAGCTTGCCACGTGCCACCTGTCGTTTGGTGGCGTGGACGCCCCACGACGCGTGAACAGGGGAAGCGCCAGCCGTGATTGATTGGAGGTTACTGCACAATAGCGGCGCAGTTCTTTGAGCAAGCCATGGCTACCATGGAGGAGATTTTGGAGAGGGAGCTACATCTTGGAGCGAACGAATGGCTGATTACCTTGGAGAACGGGTGCAGATGGGTACAGGAGATTGTGCGGGACATGTCTTTGCGGCTGGAGCCAGAGGTCGAAAGGGGAGCGATTTCTCTGGCTGGTTGGCTAAAGGATAAAAGTGAGGACATGCTGGAGCTCATCTGGGAGCTGGAGGACGGGCCGGATCCTCGGCTTGACGTCTGCATCGATTGGAGAAGGGCAGATGGCATCATGTCTATCTGCAAAACCCTATTCAAAGAGGGCCGCGATCTGTGTGCTCTTCTGGAAGACCGGTTGGAGGGCGATATTGATGGTGAGGAGGCGCACGTGGCATCAGAGGTAACAGCGTTAACATCAAGACCAACAACAACAACAACAACAACAACAACAACAACAACGACAACGACAACAACATCGACACCGGTGATATTGGAGGCCGTGAAG